CCAATAGCAGTTCATAATTTCCATTAAAAGAAAGAAATAAATGCAGTATTACATGTATTCAGCACAAACAAAGTTTAAGTATCTTTATCCTTATATTATTCACATCTTATACAAAATTAATTATCTAAAGGTATTGATAATGACTGAGTAGAAATGACGTTGCATTAATTTTGATATAAAAAAAGAAATATTTGCATTTTAAAGCGATGCGAAATTTTTTTTAGCATTTTTTCCCTGAAATTCAGCATATTTTGTGAAAAACAACCAATCTTGATGTACAAAAAGTACTCAAATCAAATGGCGTATCATAATTTGGCAAATAACATTGCATTATATTTGATAAAAAGAAAAAATATTTAGCATTTTTTTCCCTGAAATTCAGCATACTTTATGAAAAACAACCAATCCTCATGTACAAAAAGTTTTAAGTTCCAATGGCAGTTCATAATTTCCATTATCTTATACAAAATTAATTATCTAAAGCAATTCATAATGACTGAGTACAAATGACGTTGCATTATTTCTAATATAAAAGAAGAAATATTTGCATAAATTATCAAAGCGATGCGAACAAAATTTTAGCATTTTTCCCTGAAATTCAGTATATTTTATGAAAAACAACCAATTCTGATGTACAAAAAGTACTAAAATCAAATGACAGTTCATAATTTGGTAAAAAACATTGCATTATTTTAGATAAAAAGAAGAAATATTGACATATTCAAACAATACAAACACAATTTTAGTAGCTTTATTATGATATTTATCATTATTTGTAAAATACGACTGATCCTGAAGTACAAAAACTAATAAATTCCAATGGTGGTTCATGATTTCTATTAAAATAAAGAAATAATTGCACTATTAATCAACACAAACAAAGCTTTCAGTATCTTTACGGTTATATTATTTTTATTTTCATCATCTAGTGACATCAAAATGCTAAATAGGGTACTTATTTCAAATTATAACTTATTTCTTTTTAGTGATACAGAAACATTCTGAACATGACATTATTCTGCAATTATTTAATTTATTTTGCAATAAAATAAGAGAACTAATAATGAAAAAATGCATATATAATGCGTGAAAAGTAATTTATTTATAATTTTTTATGTATAATTGCGAACAAGTTGATTACAAATTAACGAGTAAAGGTGTCTTCGTAGAGGTCCACGTTTATCGCATGTAAATACTGTGGAGTTCGTTTTACATAAGAATTTTAATTATATACGTATCCGTCCAATCCGTGCATACAATTAATTTACTGATCGATCGCAGACCGTTGTCACTGTTACTCTCACATAGCTTATTTTACGTATCTGACGGATTATATGGCTCATCGATCACCGATCATTCATCGATCAGTCAAACATCCGTCACCGATCATTCACCGATCAGTCAAGTTCCCGTCAAACACAGAGGAGGGACGACACTCTGCACACGGCACGCAGATTTGTCTTATATAATCAATCGGTCTCATTGGTAACGTGTCATTTATTATAAGCAGTTCGTGGCGTGAACATAACCTCACCGTGTAGAACGCCACATCCGGGGTGTCGGCTATGTTTGACACGGGGTGGAGGTTTTGAAGAGAAGAAAAACCGATCAAGGTAAGTTCAAGTATCAAAATTTCTTTTTTTAAAATTGTTAGTACCACATAATGTATTGCACGGAAGGAACCGAACCATAATCTATTTCCAGCAAGCAGAAGCAGACTTCTTCAGTGCTCTGTTTTCTCAAACACCTCTCCGTAGTTTTCTGTGTTGTAGATTTTGAGGCTTCAGATGCAAGTTACCTTGATCGTTTTTCTCCGCTTCAAAACCGCCACCCCGTGTCAAACATAGCCGACACCCCGCATATGGCGTTCTACATGGTGCACCTGGACATTCGAAATTTGTTGACTGAGATTATAAATATGATCAGTTATATATACACTTGTATTGGTAATACAATATACATTCATGTTCAAATAATAAACGAATTTGGTAATTGTCATTATTTGTTCAAATAATAAACGAATTTGGTAATTGTCATTATTTGTTCAAATAATAAACGAATTTGGTAATTGTCATTATTTGTCGGGAATATAAACATACTTGTCATAATTAATTACGTATAACACTGCTTATCCCCAAGGGCTCATTTCATACGATATGGACATTAAGGGCATTCATTTGATTGATTTTAAGGTTTTATTTATTCATTACAAAAATTATAAATATTGTACTCATTCGAACTTCATTTATCTGTACTAAAATAAAAAACGAAAATACACAATTAGAAGACGAAGCTGGCCAATACACAAATTACACACAATTTTAAAAAGCTATTTTATTACATGGTTTTTTCGGGTAAAACATTTTCATTCTATCTTGAATATAATCAAAATACACAAAAAAGTAGTTTTTATGCCTAAGGGTTACGTATTCACTTACGTTTTTGACAAATATATTTGGACATTTTATTTGAAAATCGTCGTTTTTTAGCGTCGTACTATGCAGCAAAGAATGGAGACTTAAGTAGACCTTTTACGTGTTAGGCTGTATAAACAATATTCTTTAACTGTTAAAAATTGCAATGATTTCTACTGGCGCACTAACGAAATATTAACAAAAACTTGTGCCTTGTATTTTTATAGACATCGAATAAAATTCCCGCCATTACGGAAAATAATCTTCAAAGATACAATTTACCAAAAGCGAAGTAAAGAATACCTTAATTTTTTTTATGTAAAACTGATTTTCGATCATCAATAAATATTCCTCTGTGAAAACTTGCTATATTTTCCATGAATGCAGTAGAGTACATTTGATTTTAAAACACGTACAAATCGATCTTTTACAATATTTAAAATTGCCAAACGGAAGCTGAAATAGACGGCACATAGACTGTCGTCCCACCTCTACGTCAAACAGTAACGCCTAAAGTTGCAAGTACTGTAGAAGTCAAGGGGGTGACAGAAAGGAATCAAATCTAGAAGAAAGGAGAGAAGAGAAGCCGAGAAAAAAGTTATGAATGAGAAAAATTAACCTCTTGCCAATCCTTATATATTAAATATATTAAAACTGTATGTCCTTCATATTTTTTTTTTTTTGAGTTTTCAAAATCAATAGTGACCGACTGTTTCACTCAAAGAGGTATTTACTCAAGATGAGAACTTTCAGATGTCTTACACACAATACATACCAAAATACTTTGCTATATGATTTGATGAAAGTCTGGCCTGCGGCCAGGCGAGCGAGAATAGATGTATCTACAGTGTTTGATTCCTTACACCACTTATGAATCAAAAAGTGTGTTGAATATCTGTTGAACATCACACAAATTAGCTTTTACCAGTTTTAACTGATAATCTATGTGCTGACAAAGTCCCAACATTTAAAGCCTAATTTGTCATCCTCAGCGTCGAGTATACACATTTAAGTTAGTAACACGTCTACTTATCACAGTGCAACAGGAATTTTCATTATTTTTAACATAATAAATGTAGTTCTCTTGATGTACAGTCCATCTATAAAATTTGTGCTTTATTGACGAGCAAATAGACAGGCATATCCTTTAATAAGACACTAGTGACACAGCACTTGCAATATATTTAAATGGTAATAACTTGAATAAATGACCATCTAGTTTGTACATAGTGATAACATACTTCTACAAGTATACATAGTCTTAAAAAAGACTGTTGTTAAAATTAATCAATTATTTATGCAGAACAAAAATTAGTTGGTGTTAAAGTTCACACGAACTATTCATATGTGTAGTGCATTGATTAATATAATAGTATTGTGAAACCCGAAGTCAATTCAACTGCAATTATTGCATGATATAAATCTAATGATTTCACTCATCTAAAATCATACAACTATAGGTGTTGCCATGACTTTTATCGATGACGCTGCATCAATACAATTGAGAATGCATAGAAAAAGATATAATTCATTTCTTCTTTTATTTTACTTTATCTCCATTTAAAAGTCAAAGGACAACGTAATACAAAGAATAACTAATTGGAGAATTGCAATATTGAAAAATATTCATCTCCTGACCGCACAACACTGAAAATTAACTACGCACATTCGTGAATTAATGTATTGTGCTGTCCTTCACTGAATATATTCCTGGATTAGTTATTCTATAATTATCATCAGTTAATCAGGTTGGAGTTTTTATCAAGTTCAATTATGTTTAATATAATTATATAAAAAAAAAAACAACAAAAAACAACAAAAAAAAACAAAAAAAACAAACAAACAGTAACACCTATTTTAATACAATGTGCATATGGTGAAACATACTGTTCTTGGTATTTCTCATGTCATTCGGGACTTTCTTTTTACATAATTCTCCAAACGTCGGGATTCAATATCGAGATTACTCTATACATTTAAATTAGGTTGAACTACGATAATTTGTTTGGACGTTCAAGGGAAAAATGCCTCTGATATATACAATCTATATTTGTCTTTCACTATGTAAACTTGATAGTAGCTTAATCGCTAAAAATATTACATTTAAATTTCTATTCATTTTTTTTTATTTATCTGGATCATAATTACAGTGCAAATAAAGAACAAATGATTTCATTTACATTCTAGGGGTGCTATACATTTGGCAAAGCGATTGTACAATCAATACAAATTTCTCTTATTACAAACAATGCTTTCTTTCAAATTCAGAAAGGCTAGACTTTAGACAAGAAAACAATAAATTTTAAAGATGTAACGATCGGTTTTAAGGTGAAAGTTTAACATGCATGGCCTTATAATTTCACGACATATTCAAATATGTTGTTTATTGAATAATACTACATTAACCCGAGGTACGTGATAATGTAATCATCATGAGTTACCCCAGGAAGGAGTTTTCAGTCGATTTACTAATATAAATATATTTGAAAAAAAAACACTTCTTTTAACGAAATGTATAAATACTGAAAACTATTGCACTTGATATTTCTGATGTAATATTATGTTTATTTATAACAATTTACTTACCTTTTGGTGAAGGCGCCTCCAACTGTTCTGTTTCAATATTGTTGACACATTGTTTATCATCTTGATAATCACATTTTCGCACTTGATACCCTATAAAAATGTTCATAAATTAGTTTGATTAATATGCCTATAATTGACTTTGATAAAATCAAGAGGAAAATCAGATAAACAACTAGTAGGAAGTGCACGTGACGTAAGAATATTGTATTAAAATGGTATTAAAGCCACAATTTTTGTACAAGAGACCAAATGACCTGAGTGTAAGCAATGTATGGCTGCATAAATGAGCAAATCCCATATCGTATAGCATGTATAGTGAGCTATTCAATGCTTATAGAGTGTATAACAATTCAAACAAAACACCAACAGCCTGCTTTATCGTAAAATAAAAACTTTATAGGCAAGAGTCATAACCGATCTAAGAGTAGATGCAGTTACTGCAGGCTATTTCAGAGCCAATTACAACTAATGAATTAATCATGATTTGTTGAATGAAAAAATAATCAGATTATATCAAACATGTCAAACTGATTACGTGTAAATTCCTTTTAAACAGTCTGTGAAAAGCCTTACTTTGTACAACATGTACAATGCCACGTATAAGTTTCGTTAGAATATAGGGCCATACGTGTTCAAATCTTTATATACAGCTCTAGTTATGTTTTGATCTATCAATAACATAATCAATGTTAGAACCGTAACAGACACTTATGTTACACAACTTATTATCGCGAATACTTTTCCATTTTTCAGCCGACTTCTCGACGATTTATTATCATGATTTTCCAACTTTTTGATTTATTTATATTTTTTATGCAAGAGGAATATAGTTTGAAATATTCAAACGATTTGTATTCGTAGAATTTTCACTCACTCTCGAAAAAATGGTTGGTTTAAAGCAATCTAAGACCGTATTATTGTGTTCAAAGTTAACCAAATCTTAGAATTTATAAAATAATTTAGTTAAGGTTTCATACTATTTGTGGTTACGAATCCTATATTTACTCATCTTTCATGTATAACTTTCATTGAGATCCAAGACGTCATTATTATTACAACCACGGACAAAGCAAACAGGTTTTGAAATGTATAAATTCATGAGGTAGGGCAAAACGAACAATAAGTTAATGAAATAGAAAATTAAAAATATTGTTCAACAAGTCGTCTTTTTTTTTTTGTCGGAAATGTGTATAAAGAGACCCCGTGTGCAACTTAAAAACCATCATCAAGAGAAAGACAGTTATTTCTTTTAACAATGGATTATATTTATTTTAATTACATTCCCTATGGTAAATTGCCACAGTATGATTAAAAATGTCCTTGTTATTTAAGGGTGTCGTCAGGTGAAATTAAAAATATCTGGAACTGCAATTTGATACAAACAATTGGAATAGATTAGTTAAGGAACAAATAAACTAAAAATATTGATAGGTTGTTGACTTCCTTTTCGAAATGTTTGATTCTTTTTAAATGGCGAGAAAAGGCTGACTCGGAATGTCACCTAATATTAAGCATTGTATTTTTTTTTGGTCTCAAATCGTAGGAAATGAAATTTAAAATCTGCTTTAATTTTGATAACGACCTTCAAAGACATATTGAAGACTTCTATGAAAAGACATGAGGGTGATATGGGGCAAAATATTTTACCCTGTATAGTAGGACAAACCCAAGGAGTCCGAACATATGACAAAAATTCCTAAATCCTTAAATGAGTCTATTCTTAAAGCAAATACATTGCCAAAGTAAGGGAAAGTGTTTAAATTGATCAATTAACTAGAATGTAAACGGAACGTGACTGAGTTTAACCATTAATTTTTTAAAGTACAGGAACAAGTCTAGATAAGAACTTGTCCCCGTACATGTGGTAAATGCACTTACATTTTACTGTTATGGGTTTATTTTCTGATGAGACAGCTTTCTACCGTAAGCGTGTATTGCTACATTTGTCCTATGCCCTTACATCTATAAGTTCATCATGTATCCCCTTATCATGATTTTACTAAGTATTCTTATGATTTCTTTAATTTGCCCTTATTGTTTATTAATGTCTGTTATATCTTACTCATGTCTTTAACGTCGGGCAGTTACATTTTGTATTTACAGTTGTTATAAGAATTATTGGACTGCACTATCCATTGTCTTAAATTCTGTTTTTATAATCTAATTCAATGTTTAACTTTCGGCCTCTTTTACTTATTCAATTGTTTTATAAAAAAATGATTATGAAACTACGGAATGGACTATATTCAAAATACTCTCCCCTCTTTGAATATCGAAGTGCGTAAAAACTGCGCTACTAACATCAGTTCAATTGTCACTAATCTAAATTGACCTTCATAATTTAGCACTTTCCCAAATTGTGTTAAAGGAGGCAATGCGTCTCCGCCTAGAACAAAAATGCATGATGATATCCACACATATCCCCTTGCCATGCCAGAAAATAACAAACCTGCTCCAGATAATCTTGAGGTAATACTGTTTGGAAATCAGTGAACGAAAGGCATTTTATTCTATATATGTCCTATGGCATCACTTAAAAAAACTCAAAGCCTAATATATTTTGGAAAATGACATAACTGAAATGCGGTATTCAAAATGTAGGACATGCATTTTTCACATGAATGCAAAAACATATTTACCTCTTTCGCAGACCTAAAACATCAAGATGTTATGTACCATTTAAAAAACTCAAACACAATATTCAATTTATAAATTCCAACCACTTCAAACCGCCAAAAACAACAAGGACAATCACATAAACAATTTGTAGATTACCGTACAATTTGCGATCTGTCTTTGATTAAATGACTGGAGACTGCTTATCCCCTGGCCGATATGAAAATATCGTGGGACAAGCAAACAAATCTAAAGCATCCTCTATTGATATTATGACTTTTTTTTTTATAACAGACAGGGTTATCATAGGTGGCATGACAATCGCAATGAACAGAACATAAAACAACGAAATAAACAGCAAAATAATTTTACACTTTTCAAATAATCGTTTTGTCTATATTCAAAAACAAAAGTAGAAATCAATTATTATACAAACTGGGTCAAATATTAATTTGTAAATTATATAATATCTATTCCGAGCGTAATACAATGTCGTTTTTTTTTTCAGTCCAAAATATGAGTGTACACGTTTCATTACAGCATTTTTGCCATAGACTGTTCTCTCGGATTGACAAACCTAGATATCATAAAAGGCATTTTCTAAAAATCGAATGCATTAACAGTTGCATTGATTTTATCAGTTTGTCCAGTATTTTAAATGACCTTACCATACAAAACTTCATACCTCCCATTTTATACATAGAACCACCTGTAATTTCTAACACGTATAAAAGGACAGTAGAAGTTTAATTTTAAGTATACGCGAGTTACGTCAGACGTCAATATAGATAAAAATGCTCCTTCAACATGAGACTCTGAAACATCGAATTCATATAGTAGTATATGGCCATGGAAATAGAGATCAAGACCGAGAGGTTTTCAATTATCATTAAAAAGACCAAAATACCGTTCACCGTCGAAAATAAATTGCAAAGAGTTTCGTCAGGTCATTAAAGTTGCTCTCTCGTTATATTGTAAAAATAATATAAACAGGAGAAATCTTACAACAAGTTACTTGATTCCTATATTTAAATAAATTTCTCAATATTGTTGATGTTTGCATATAACGTTTCGAAAATGATTTAGAAATCAAAACTGTAAGTAGTTTGGCCGTCGCACGGATTAAAACAATACTCAAGTACTCGTAAAGCGTTTAGTGTTCGTATCGGCAGACAAAGAAGCCAACAATTTGTTCAAACTCATCAAAGCAATTTTTACAGAAATTTTTAAATTTAGTAAAAAACCGTGTTACTCAAACCCTTACTTTAGACAAAAAACAAACTTTTAAACATGAAAGATCTCATTAAAACAGTCAGCAAAGGAAAATACATAGTACATGTAGTATATAGAAAACAAGAATCCATATTTAAAGAATACGTTCTTTAAATTGTATGCAGTCTTCAAACAATGAAAAATCTTCAGGATGTGGCAATACTATAAGCGAATATATATTAACAAGCAGAACACTTATCAAGCCAATAAAGTTATCATGGGAGAGGAATTTGTAAAATTGAAAATTCACTTGTTTTCCAAACCTAATAAAACTGTCATATTGTAATGTTTACGTTATTATTTTCAAAATAAAATATTACTTACACTAAGCCAATAAAGAGAAAATTAGGTGAAAAGGGCACGCGAGTTTCCAAAATTATGTGTTCAAAATAAAATGATTACAGTTTCGTGCGTCCGAAGCAATTTTATGGATTTACTAGTCACCAGGAACGTTCAAACCTACGCTGCAACGTTGAGAGGTATTTATTTACAATAAAACACTTAAATAGAATGTTCAAATAAATCCTATTTGTTACTCAAGAACAACAAATTCACATTTGATGGAGATCATTATCTACAAAATACTGCTACTGCTATTGGTACCAAAATGTCTCCATCGTATTCTTACATATTTATGGGCAAATTAGGAAAACAAATTCTTAAATCTTCGTCCCGGTTTAGATGCTGAAGATATGAAATAAATAAATAAAATAAAAATTACGAGGATTTAGATGCATTTATCACTTCTACCAATAACACTCATCAATGTATCAAATTCACTCATGGTATTTAGACAGTCAGGAACTCATCGCCAAGACAATATTTTCCAACACTGAAACAACTAAAACACGACTGAGTCACCTCGAAACCCGCTTGAAGAGACAGGGCTATTAACACACGACTATTAAAAAAAGAGCGAACATTATCCAAACTGCTAGAATACAACAACAAAAAGAATAATAAATCAAAGGACCTGTATTTTTACTGACCAACAATCTGTACAAATTAGCTTCGGTGTCATTTGAAACCAGTAGAAAAAAGTGCCCCTGATTTTTCCTGAGCCCTCCCCTCTTTTGATAGCTTTCAAGCAACTCCAAATTCTGCGGAACCTGTTTGTGTTTGCAGAAGTGTCTAAGTCAAGTATTCCTCGAGAAATCTATTCGTATGTTGACAAATAATGCAAATGTTACCTACAATGCATCCCTCATCAACATTCCACAGTAAGGCCATCAAAAATAAATATAAATTATTTTGCAATGTGACCTGCATAAGTATGAATGTTATTAACTGATTTACGAACGTTTATTTTTGTTGGTCGAATGGTCTAGGGCGTTTGCAACAGTGCAGTAGGTGTTGCCACGATGTCTCAGGAGTAGGTGGTTTGGATCTCGCTGAGGGAAGAACCAAGCAAACATTTGAACATGCAAAGTTGCAGATCTAACATTGTTGGGCTAAATTTGAGACAAAGGATATATAAATTAAGGTGCTAGCCCTGTATAACCATGAGTTATCCGATGAGGGATTTATGTCCTTAAGTTGTCACATGTTTATATGTTTATATATTTCATTAATTCGTAGCCAATTCATCCTCTTTTGATCAGTTGATTATCTTTATTAAAAAAAATGCGTGGATCGTTTGATCTCAGTTCTTCATTGGTCAAAATTCAATGATGACGTCTAATTTTATTGCTTTCCTCTGAAGAAGGATTAAGTTTGTATGCATATTGTCTAGAAATCATTAGAGCAGCAAATTTTGTCAACAAATCTCGTGCAATACGATATTTTTCCACTCTCGACAGATCATTATGAAAAAATAATACTGTAGACAATAAATAAATCGGACCAAAAGTGTACAACACCAAAATTTAAAAAAAAAGGTAATTACATTTAAATATAAAGATGCCAATATTTCTCATCAATTGAAAATTACCATTATTGACACACAAACTACTTGGTGTAAGGATAGAATCACTCCGGATAGATTTCAGATAAAAACAAAAAATATAAAAAAATATGTACATCTAATGACAGCAGCTGGATGTATTAATTTTGATTGCAGCCTCGATCTGTACAAGCGTTATCATTTTTTAATTTGGTTTTAAACTGTACTATGTCCAAGATTGTTTATAAAAGTCAGAATATATTAATAAGACTATATTTTACCTTAACCTGATGAAGAATATCTGTTATTCATTTTTTTATATTTGTATTAACTTATTTTTAATGTTCCTGTTGTTGACAAAAATTCTTTCTAAATAATCGACATCAACATCAGCAATCAGAGCCGGGCTTCAAAAATATTGTGAAAATACCTATTTTAGAAGTGGCGTGAATCAAATGAGGATACTAAAAAATTCCGAAGAGTACGTACAATCTAGGACTCTTTCATCTTGCAATATTATTAAAACATTTCACTTTTCTACACTTTACACAAGTATTCCCCATTTCAAACTGAAAGAAAAATTGAAAGAGTTGGTCCTGTTTTGTTTCATGAAAAAGAATGGTCAACGTAGATACACATATCTTTTCTTAAAGAGGGATCAATCTTTTTTTTGTAAAAAAATCACTCTGATCCAAGCAAAAATATCTCTGAAACGCATGTTTTCAAGATGCTTGATTTCTTGATTGACAACATATTTGTTACATTTGGAGGACGTGTTTGTACGGTCGCCATCACGAGTTAGTTGACCTTTATGGAATATCCGTTTCACAGATGATAGCAGATATGTTCATACTGTCGTAACTACAATCCCGTCCCCTTTTCACAAATTTGACCTACCGATTTAGACTTATTACCGGGTTTGTACTAACATGAGCAACACGACGGGTGCCACATGTTGAGCAGGATCTGCATACCCTTTCAGAGCACTTGAGATAACCCCCAGTTTTTGGTGAGTTTCGTGTTGCTCAGTCTTAAGTTTTCTGTGTTGTGTTTTGTGTATTCTTGTTTGTCTGTTGGTCTTTTTCTTTTAAGCCATGGCGTTGTCAGTTTATTTTTTACTTATGAGTTTGAATGTCCCTCTGGTATTTTGTCGCCTCTCTTTTGAAACAGAATTCTTCTTGATTACTTCAGCAGTTGATATATTTCGATTAAAAAACATGGGCATGTGATCACCATATACGATTACACCACAAAAAAGGCAATAATCAGATTATTTTTACAATAAAAAGGATATATTCAACTTTTGTTCGATCTGCTTTTTTTTCATTCTATTTTACTTTGTCTCCCCCCTCAATATTCTAGCTGAAAGAGAAAACATTATGTACCTGTATTGTTTCCATGTATCAGCGTGAAAGTAATTGACGATGTCAAAAGCATGATAATTGTAATACTTATGATCACTAGTAGGACAGTTGTTCGTTTTATTTCTAAAACATCTAAAATAGAAGAAAACAATGATTACGTGCATAAAACAAAAATGTTTAACACAGTGCATTATCAATGTACCTGCTGCATATAAATATATAGGTATAGTGATACGTTTGAAATTAAACAAGAGGCTCTCAAGAGCATGAATCGCTCACCTGTAATTTTTTGCTTAAATCTTTCATCAATGATTATTTTTGCCTTTCAATATACATAAGATATATTAATGAGTGGCTTAAAAATGCCATTTAAATGTTCTTTGTATCTGTCATATTTTCTTTAAAAAAAAAAAAAAAAATGCATTTTAACCCTTTGTTCCATTTTAGCCATAGTGGCTATGTTTCTTGACGTACAAGAAAATAAAATATACTAGATACTCTGAAACTCATTCAGCCCAAGTTTGGCTAAAATTGATTCAACAGTTTCAAAGGAGAATATTTTTTAAAGTAAGCAAACTAGATGACAAAATTGTGAAAAATTGTCTTTAAAGGGCAATAACTCCTTAAGGGGTCAATTGACAGTTTTGGTCATATTAACTTATTTGTAGATCTTACTTTGCTCAACATTTTTACTGTTTACAGTTTATCTTTATCTGTAATGATATTCAAGATAATAACCGAAAACGGCAAAATGTCCTTAAAATCATCAATTCAGGGGCAATAATAAAAAAATCAGATACCCGATTTGGCTGACAATTTCAGGGCAGGTAGACCTTGACCTAAAGAATACTTTAACTTAATGTCTGATTTGCTCTAAATGCTATAATTTTTGAGATGCAAGTCAAAAACAGCATTTTACCCTATTTCTATTTTTAGCCATGGAGGCCATGTTTTCTGAGAAAACAGAAAATAGAACATAAACTTAATTCTAGATTTAATTTGGTTCATTAGTTTCAGAGGAGAAGATTTTTTAAGGTTAGAAAACATGATAAAAAAAATGTGTAAAATTGTCCTTAAAGGGCAATAACTCCTTAAGGGGTCAATTGACAATTTTGGTCATATAAAACTTATGAGAAGATCTTACTTTGCTGAACATATTTGATGTAAACAGTTTAACTTTATCTATAATAATATTCAAGATCAAAAACTGCAAAATTTCCTTACAATTACCAATTTGGTGGCAGCAACCCAACAATGGGTTGTTAGATTCATCTGAAAATGTCAGGGTTAATAGAACTTGACTTAACGACCTTTTTTACCCCATGTCAGATTTGCTCTAAATGCTTTATTTAGTTTTTGAGATATAAGCCTTAAACTGCATTTTACCCCTATGTTCTATTGTTAGCCATGGCTGCCATGTTTTTTTCACGAAACTGAAAATAAAACACAAACTTTATTTGAGATACCCTAAGAATCATTCAGCTAAAGTTTGGTTGGAATTGTTTTTTTAGTCTCAGAGGAGAAGATGTTTGAAATAGTTTACACCTGACGGACGACGACGGACGCCAAGTGATGGCAAAAGCTCACATTTCCTTTGGAACGATGAGCTAAAAAAATATACAGTAATAATAAAAACAATTGACAAATAAACTATATGAAAACAGCTCAATGCAGATAACAGGCAATATATTGGTACGCCAAACGAGCATTTCGTGTGCATAAAACGTACGAATAAAAGAAGATGTGGTACTTCATATTGAGATTCTTTTCTTAGCACTTTTGAATAGATAAACTTCCTGTCCTTTACTACTAACATCCATTTGCCTCGACCTTTGTTGATTACACTAAAATTCGACACCTATGTGCAGACATGTCTCCACATGTTCCACAGACACACTGTCACACATTTCCTAACAATCTAACACAGTTTCAAAAGTGATAAAACCAAATATATTGGCAAATATTCTTTTAAAAAGTAACGAAACATAATCAAGAATTTTCTAAGTTTACTGTTGAAATTTACAAAAAGAAACTTTCTTTAACACATGCAGTCCTATTAACATAAACGGATTCAATTGTTCCGCACCAGATGTGCATTTCGACATTAATGACTATCGATGCCAATTATTCTTTTCTAAATTTGAATAGACTTGGATGCTCGAGACCAAAATATTTGAAATTCCAAAACTTATTAAAAACGAAGAGCTTATAAACTAGAAAAAGACCAATGTAGAGCCGACGACGGACAACGATTAAGAGTTTTGCATGAGAGAGATACATTTCTTAATTTAAAATAATTTTCAAACTAATGAGGCAACCATTCTAAATAATACAATATATATATTGTCATGCCAGTACGGTAGGTAATTTCCTTGAGGAATAACAGTCAATCAGCAGAAGTATCTGTCCAAAGGTATTTATAACATTACAATTTAACGGTACGAATGTTTCTGTGCCTGATTTTTTTTCGATAATACATGTCTCTTCGGTGGGTGATGCTCCAGGCCAACTGTTCTTTTTAGATTTGGATATTTCAATTTCGGAAGTGAAACTCCATACAAAATATTACGACAAAAGGTTATTTTTTTAACACAGTCGTAACATTTCAAAAGTAATGTTTTTATCGGTACTAACATTGATTTTTTTTTATAAATTAAAACATAACGTTATATATTTTTCGATATATAAATATATACAGTTTTGTTAACTCACGATCGTACATAATGTTGATGCTGTTTACTTATATTTTAGCATTGCACAAGGTAATGCACTTTTCAAACTATTTACACAGTCATTACACTTAATCCGTTGGATTGTTGAAAAATGATAATTTAGTCTCGGAGAACATGATTTATTTATTAGTTGTAATTGGCTATGAATTGGCTTCCAGTAACTACGAGTTCTCTTATATCGTTGCTTTGAGTGTATTGTTTTATGTTAGTTGGTACTATGCTTTGTACCGATTCTTTTAGTTATGCCAATTGCAACTGATTTTTGAAGTGTGTCCTATGTTGTGCTGTTTCGTCTCTGTCCCAGGTCAGGGAGAGGGTTAAGAGCTCACAAACATTACCTATGTGTCAGTCTTAAGTCAGAAACTGGCAGTTCAGTGGTTGTCATTGGTTCATGTCTGCATATTTGATTTTTGCAAATTATTTGTACCCTTTAAGGCCAAATATACGAAAGGGTTTTCGTCATTGTAGAAGACCGAATGCTGATCTATAATTGCTGATATTATGTTTGAACTACAGTGGATAGTTGTTTTAATGGCAATCACATCACGTCTCCTTTTTTATATTGTTACCTTTTAAGTAATAAACTTTTAATGAGTCTTTTATTGAATTGAAATCACCAAAACTTTAACATGTGTAAATGCAGAAGAATAAACAAACATTTAACAAATGTAGTGTTTTATCTGTATCAGTGCTTTGCTCAAAACTTTTATATATTTTATAAAGAGCAAAAAAGGTGTTACTATTATAGCAAATTCATTCTGTTATTGACATCTACACGTTTTGAATTTAAAATATTGTCAAATATCAGCTAACTTTACGCTGATTTAAAAACTATATGTTTTTATGTCTTTTTGCTTGAAATTAGGATGATAAAAATGCTACTTCCGGTTAACAAAATATCACTTTCGTTATGAACTGATAAGTTACTGCTCACTGATTAAAAAAATATATGGTTCTAGGTACTTTAAAATAAAATCAGTACAGGAAAGGCTACATTCTGTTTACATACGGTCACTTCCAGTTGACCTTTTCAGGGTCATATTTCTAACTACCTACTGCAAAACACCCCATGGCTATATGTATAAATAATAACTTGTAGCAAAATTCATAATCTAGAACATTATATTTACCTTTGACCTTGACCTTAATTTCAAGTTAAAAAAGCAAGGTTCTTTAATCAAAAGATTCTAAGTCTGTATTATACATGGTTGATGAGATATACCACAATGCAGCTTATTTCAAACATAAGAGGAGAGAAAACTCCATTTTAAAGTCAAAGCTACCCTTTTAACCAAATATTATATGTTACGACATGTCACAACTAACAGTTAAGTGAAAATGTTTTGTCGTTATCAACAGTTTATAAAGATATTTTATCTCATTTCAAACATAAGATGGGCAAAAACTCCCATTGAATGTCAACGCACTCTTTTAACAAATGGACAGAATCGATTAATGAATGCACGAACGATTTTTTTAAATGGAAAATCTATTAAAATCATAGAGGCTTATAATGTGTAAAGGCTTATATTTTTAAGCTTCTATGTAGCCGATACTACGACAACTTTTTGTGGACAATTGATTGCTGTTATTAGTGACTGTAAATCATTTTTTTAAATTTTATATCAACATGCCAGCCAAAAATTTGTCAAAATACGGCAACAGCGGTAAGGTGTTTTCAGAAATATGTGTGTTTATTAAAGAGAAATGCAATGATATTAAAGAAGATAACGTGACAGTAAACGATACTATGGATGCACAAAATGAAAGTTTTGATAAAGACAATGACAAACTGCAAGATACGTAGAAAACTGCACAGAATTTGATGACATTATTGATGTCTTGGTTACAGACTGAAGGGATGTAACGTTTATTGTACACGATATCAAGATTGACCGGTTACAAAAATATAGAATATGCAAACGGTATGTGTTTTCGTCAGTCTTTATTTGCTGTAAATAATGTTTCATATTCCGTATATGTATTGGAGGGATTTCACAATTATCTCAGGTATTATGAAAGGGTTCTGTATATGATGTGGTCATTTGGGTTTAACCTGTGTACCTCATACGAGGTAAGAATAAATGTATTTGCTTATTATTGTACAAGCTAATTACTGTTGCTTTATATTAGCATAGCTTTATTAGTAATCTGCTTTTCGTTTTCGGCATTATTTCGTTTTTCAACTACTTGCTCATAGTTTTAATGGCTCGTATAGTATAATGTCAAATTAAACAGCTAAATGAGAAACAATATTTCTATTCAGTTTTTTGACAAGTTGAATTTTGTTTTGGAAATCACAGTAAGTAATATTTTGATAGAGTGTAATTGTGCATTTTGTTATATTTCAAAACTGTGACTTATTTTACAGCTGTTTGGTTAACTTTTTGTAAATACAAA